CCTATATGATCCTGGACAAGTCACTTAATCTCTCTTTGCCTCGATTTCATCATCTAAAGTGGGGATAATAATAGCTCCCAGAGCTGTTGTGAGGATCGAATGAGATAATATTTATGAAGCAAATTTTATTGTTTTCGTAAATTCTGAAGTGTTATATAAATGCTAGAAGGAGGATTCTTCTCTTCAGGGCCAAGCTCTTTCGATATTTTTTTTGTTCATTTACATTACGGCAGTCATTATGTATAGTTTTCCTCGTCCTTTTTTTTTTTTGTCAGTCTGCATCAGTTCATAAGTCTTTCCATTCTTTTCCATATTTTTCATATTCATTGTTTCTTACAATGTAATGACATTCCATTCTATTAGTATACCACAATGTATGTAACCATTTCCCAATCAATGTGTATCTGTTTTATTTCAACTTTTCCTACCACAAAAAGTGCTGCTATAAATATTTTGGGGTACATGGTATCCTTAATTTTATCTTTTACTTCCCTGGAGTATATGCCTAACTATGGAATCTCTGGGTCCGAGGTATGGGCATCTTAGTCACTTCCTTAACACAATTCCAAATTGCTTTCTGGAATGGTTGAACCAATTTTACAGTTCCAACAGGGTGTCAGTGTGTATATCTTTCCCAAACCCCTCCAACATTGATTATTCCCATCTTTGTTCATCTTTGCCAATTTGCAGATCTGAAGTTTACAATTCTCAATCCCCAAGACTTGTTTGGTGTCCCATGAAAATGAATGAGTTTGGAAAGCGCAAGAACAAAACTAGTTCAAGGGACAAGGCCATTTTCTCCCTTCTTAGCCACATTCCTGACTTCAAATATACATGAACTAGCAGTAACTTCTCTTATAAAAGTAATACAGTATAAAATCGACCTTGTGGAAGCATTTTTTAAAACTGTATTTTTAGTGTCTCTAGAAATGTCATTTCCAGCCTGTGGGCAGCTAGGCAGTGCAGTGGATAGAATGCTGGACCTGGAGTCAGGAAGACATCTTCTTAAGTTCAAATCTGACCTCAGATGCTTATTATTTATATGACCCTCAGCAAGTCACTTAACTGTATTTGCTCAGTTCCTCATCTGTAAAATGAGCTGGAGAAGAAATGGCAAGCCACTCCAGTATTTTTGCCAAGAAAACTCCAAATGGAGTCATGAAGTATGAAGTCACACATGACTGAAATGATTGAACAACAACAAAAAATTCCTCCAGCCTAAAACCATTTCCAGACTTTTCCTTTGGGAAAATGGGAAGAACAAAGGCTAGAACCTTTTTTTAAAATGGAGTAAAGATTTTAAACCAAACTTAACTCTTCTCTAAATGGTATCATTGACTCCCCACTCCATGAAGTCATTACTATCTCATCTGAAGACACTGTCTTCTCTTTAGAAATTCAAGATACCACTCACAGACAGGAACTCTTGAGGGGAAATGGTCTAATTAGGAACAAAGTAATGACTATTCTGGAGTCAAATTTGTATTTTAACATATATGTGATCTTTTCCTTGTTCAAGATTTATATGTTACCTAAAATTGTCTTAGGTCAGAGAACCATGTTGGAGCATATGGAGGCTATGCCACTTTGAATCTCTCTCTGTCTCTGTCCCTCTGATATATGTTAAATAAATTGGTTTCGGGCAGATTTGAGCCTAAAACTCAGAGTATATGATTAGTCTTATATTTTTCTTCCATCAAGTCTTTGTTTTATTTATGTTCCCTTTTCATTACCCATTGTTTTCTGTGTATTCTTCAGATTTATTTTATTGCCATTGGTTTGATTTTTTACATAGTTTTAGTCAATGCATATATTCTTTTGGTTCCAGTTTCTTCACTCTATATCACTTCAAGTAAGTCCTCCCCGACCCCAAAATTTCTTAATGTGGATACTTGTCATTCTTCATGGTATAATAATATTATACTTCATTCATATATTACAATTTGCTCAGACACTTCCTGCTCATTCGACAGTAAAGTCATTTTCATATTTTCACATTTACAAAAACGCTGACAAAGGTATTTTTGTACCAATTACTTTTTCTTCACAATAGCATACTTCTTCTAGTGATGGAATTACTGGGTCAAAGGGAAAGAGAGAAAGAGAGAGAGAGAGAGAGAGAGAGAGAGAGAGAGAGAGAGGAGAGGAAGAAGATGATGATAGAAATAGATATACACACATTGCTTTCCAAAAAGATGCATGGTATTTAACAATTCATCTAGTAATGTCTTATCATGCATATGAATTTCACTTGAAATCATCTTTTCTTATGTAGTATGTAGAAGATGTAAAGTAAGCATGGTTGAATAGATAGAGTGGTAGATCTGGAGTTAGGAACATCTGGGTCCAAATCCCAACCTTGATACACACAAATGTTTGACCAAAGACAAGTTAATTTTCTCATCTGTAATATGGGTAGAAATATACCTGTAGGAAATACCTCTACAGGATTGTTGTGGTTCAAATGAGATATCAAATAGAAGGCACTTTGAAAATGAGAAGCCATTACATATATGTCAGTTGTTACATTGAAGTTTTTTAGATTTACATTCCCTAATTGCCAAAACAACTAAATACTTTCTTATGAAGTTATAGATAATTTGAAATTCTCTTTTCAATTCTATTCAATAAGCAGTTATTGTTATGTGCTTGCTTCATGAAAAGTACTGTGCTAAGTACTAAAAAAAGTGACAAAAATGAAACAATTCTCAGGGGCAGCTAGGTGGTGCAGTGGATAGAGCGCTGGCCCTGAAGTCAGAAGGACCAGAGTTCAAATCTGACCTCAGACCAAACACTTGACACTTACTAGCTGTGTGACCCTGGGCAAGTCATTTAACCCCAATTGCCTAAAAAAAAAAAGAAATAATTCCCAACTTTAAGAAGTTTCCCTTCTATTATAGGAATGTTTTATAAACCATATTGTGTTATATAAATGTGAAAATTATTGTTATTATAATGATAGTAGGAGGATGAACCAGTTTCTATTTGTCATCAATGCTTTTTGTTACAAAATACTTTTTTCTAAGCTGTTTCAAAATTTCTTTTCTTGTCTTCATACTATTAATGTTTATTATAATATTGTAGGTAAGGAAAACTGAGATTTATTCATATTCATTTTTATTTTCAATTTATAATATGCAGATCTTTTCTGTCATTTCTTGAAATTTTCCCTGCTCTGTTCCTTGAAATAGTAGTCATTATTTTTGTTATCATAATTTTCAAGAAGTCCAATTATTCTTAAGGTCTTTCTCTTTGTTTCATCCTCCAAATTATTATTTTCACTTGTGTAAATTTAAATCTCAAATTTCTGAGGAGCTACCTACCTTGCATTGGAAGAGTGAGTTACTTCACTAGGGAATTCCTCGTATCAATAAAATCATAGATCCAACCCCTATCCTATTGTCTTTTGGTGGCTAGGTGGAGCATTAGAAAGAAAAGAGATCAGAAGTCAGTAGACCAACTGAGAAGCTCTCTGGGAAGTGATGAAGATCGATGTATGAATTTAGAGAAAGGGATGATGGAAGGCATGAGGGATTTTGGAAGCAGAATTGATAGGACCACACAACTGATTAGATATGGAGGATAAGAGAAGAGTCTAGTTTACAAACTGTGGGAATTAGTTGGATGGTGGAATCCTCATTGTAAATGAGGAAGTTTGGAGAGGATTGTTAGAAGAAAATGGATTCAGTTTTACACATATCAAGATTCAGAGGGAGGATGTTTTGCAGGCAGTTGGTGGTGTAGGACTGGAATTCGGGAGAAATATTTACATACATATATACATATATATGCATATATATGCATGTATGTATATATGGGAGTAGGTAAAATCAATAAGACAGCATAAAGAGAGAAGATGGCCCAGCACAACTTTAGGGAGTATCTAAGACTTGGGGAATAATTCATTTAGCAAAAGAAACTGAGAGTAATCAAACAGGTAGGGGGAGAAATCAGGGGAGAGCAGTGTCATAGAAGCAAGGGAAGGAAAGAGTATGGGTGTGTGGTAGCCAACAGTGTCAAAAACAGCAGAGAAGTGAGGATGGTTATGGATTGAAAAGTGGTCACTGGGTTTAGCATTTAATTTTATTTATTTGGCAATTGGGGTTAAGTGACTTGCCCAGGGTCACACAGCTAGTAAGCATCAAGTGTTTGGTCTGAGGCCGAATTTGAACTCAAGACCTCCTGACGTCAGGTCTGGTGCTCTATCTGCACCACCTTGCTGCTCCAGCATTTTAGGGATTAATTGATAATCCTGGAGAATAGAGTATTATGGTGAAAGAAAAAAATACAGATTGTAAAGACTTGAGAAGTGAAGGAAATGGAGCCAGCAAGTATAATTTTTTTTTTCTAAAGGTGGGCAGTGAAGGGGGCAAGAGATGAAACATGATATTTGGAGGAGATAGTGAGGATTTTAAATGAAGTTTTAAGAGTGTGGGAGACCTAAGCATGCTGCTAGGCAGCAGGAAATAGGGAAGTATTGAAAAGGAGAGGGAGGAAATGAATGGGTCAGGCTTCCAGAAAAGATCAGAGGGGATGGGATCAAGGGCACAAGTTGGCTTTAGCAAGAAGAAAGGGCCCTCTCTATTTCAGACATTGGCACAAAGGAGGAGAGGATGGGAAAAGGTTTAGAGGGATATTGAGGCGTGAAAAAGAAAAGGTGGTGGGTTTCACAAGGATAGCCTAGTTTTCTTAGTAAAATAACAACTGAGATTATCTTCTGAGACACAAGAGGGTGGACATGGTTTGGGAACATTGAGGAGCTTTGGAACAACCACTACAAGGAGAGTTATAATTAATCAGGGAAGAATAATTTGATAGTAACCAAATACTTGCTATTTCTCTTCCTTTCCGAGTTGTGCCAACAGCTTAGGTGTCCTCAAGTCCTATCTTATTTTAGAAAGATTCCTTTTTTTCTCCCTTGGGCTATAGGATATGGACTTGAGAAAAGCTGACAAGTGTTCTGTCTCCTATTTCTCATCTCCCCAATCCCAGAGACATACCTGCTTTAGGATAGGAAGAAATGAGTACATCATCAGGTTTGGCTTGGAAGTCCCAGATTTTATTCCAGTAATCACAGGTACTCTTGAACAGAGCAATTCCTCTCACTTGGGAAGCTGTCTCACGGTCCATCAAATTCCACTTCAGCTCCATTGTCTCTTTTTCTTTCTCCTGTGACATCGAGGCAGAGAATCAGCAAAGGAAAATGTGCAAAATAAACTCAGAATTCACACAGATTTATGTGAGTTCTGAGAAGGTGGACTATGCAAATCTTTGCTTGTTTGTTTAATGCCACCCAAGGGAAGTGGGAACTTGGAGGAAGAGTGCATAATGACAGGAAGCCAAAAAGCATAATTAAGATTATTATGATCATCACTTCTTGATTTGGTCTGGGCCAAATTTTTAAACCCTGGGGTTGTTTTTTACCTTGCCAAGTTTCAGCATCAAACTAATACCTATAGGAAGCCTGCTTCTTAACAGACTGAGACCAAAGGTGTTGGCTTCCTTTAAACTCAAGCAAATACAATGATTCTCTGCTTTCTTTATGGGTGCATTATTATTATTATTATTATTATTATTATTAGGCTAGGCAGTGGGGTTAAGTGACTTGCCCAGGGTCACATAGTAGTAAGTGTTATGTGTCTGAGTCCAGATTTGAACTCAGGTCCTCCTGAATCCAAGGCCAGAGCTGCATCCACTGTGCCACCTAGCTGCCCCCCTGGGCGCATGATTCTTACAGAGACTGGGGAAAAACTGACAAATGTGAATTTCTATGATTTTTGCCATTATATGATTCAAGAAAGAAGTGGATAAGTCAAGAAGATCTGGGTTCAAATCTTACCTCAGACACTTATTATGTGACTCTGACCGAATAATTTAGCATTTCTGAATCTCAGTTTTCTGTTCTGTAAAATAATGGGACTAAATGGTCTGTAACTTTGCTTCCAGCCCTAAATCTGTAATAATGTGATCTTATCATCAATAAAGATGTCAGTCTCTATGGTAATTCTGGTAATTCCAGTCCTCTCTTTTCCCCTGTTAAGATCCTTTATTAAGGGGAAGACCCATGAAACAGAGCATTTCAGGTAGGGCAGTGTTATACCTACTTAAGGAGTATTAAACCAGACAAAAATAAAACATGTGACATAGGCAGTAGCAAATGTTTTCAGAGATTCCTGTGATATCCTAAGTGGAGAGGTGTAGAAGCAACCCTCCCTTTCAGCTGCTCAAGGACTTGTGTGTCTAGTGAATAAAGTCTTTATATAAGGGATGGAGGCTGGACTTGTGATTTCACTGCTACAGGGAAGTCCTGGGTAGAAAAGCCCCTCTACCAATGCAGTGTGGCACCTTCTCTATGGCTTATGCAGTTAGAGAGTTATCTAACTCTTGGAGTGGTGAAGAGTCTTGCTCAGGGTCCCACAGCCAGCCTTTGTCAGAGATGGGACTTGAAGGTTTCCATAAAGTTGTTGGTGAGTCATTTCAGCCATGTCTGACTCTTGGTGACTCCATTTGGGTTTTTTTTGGCAAAGATACTGGAGTGGTTTGCCATTTTCTTCTCCAGATCATTTTACAGTTGAGGAAACTAAGGCAAATAGGGTCACACAGCTAATGAATGTCTAGGCTAGATTTGAACTCAGGAAGATGAATCTTCCTATCTCCAGGTCATTGAGCCACCTACCTGCCTCTCCATAAAATGGAGAATGTGAAATTATCAAAAATTTGTAGTTGACAGATTTCTGTGAGAACTAGGGAAACAATAGGGTAGAAAAGTTGTAATAATAGCTCTCACTTTTATTTTCTAAAGCCAAGGCAAAGGTGTTATAAGGATTTTATCATAATTTTTCCTTTTGAGTTTTAATATCAACTGGAAATCTCTCCTGCTGTAGTGATAGTTGTTGTCACTTCCATTGAAACAACCCACCATCAATGTGAACTAAGACTGACAAGGATAAATGGGAATGGAGTGAGCCATATCTTTATTTCCAACTAATTTCTTGGATTTGATATTCTATGATTTTCTTGGGCATCTCTAGTACTCTTTGTCTTCCTACATTGTGGCTACTCTCTATGATATCTAGAGCATCCAGAGATGCTGGCCCTGGAGTCAGGAAGACTCCTTTTTTTTTTTTCCCCATGAGGCAATTGGGGTTATAAGTGACTTGCCCAGGGTCACACAGCTAGTAAGTGTTAAGTGTCTGGTCTGAGATCAGATTTGAACTCAGGTCCTCCTGACTCCAGGGCCTGTGCTCTATCCACTGTGCCATCTAGCTGCCCCTAGGGAGAAACATTCTTGAGTTCAAAACTGACCTCAGTCACTTACTAGCTGTGTGACCCTGGGCACTTAACCCTGTCTGCCTCAGTTTAACTTAACCCTGAGTGCTTCAATTTCCTCATCTGTAAAACGAGTTGGAGAAGAAAATGGCAAACCACTTCAGTATCTTTTCCAAGAAAATCCCAAATGGGGTCATGGAGAGTTGGATATAACTAAAAAAAACAACTGAACAGCAACAATAATATCTAGCTTGGTAGATATATTTATGCCATATTCTTCCTTCCTGTTTCTTTTTATTTATTGCCATTTATAGCCAGTTTCTATTTGGTTCCATGATCAAGCTTCAGGATTAGGCCAACTTATGTTCCCTTCTATTTTCTTTATTTCCGCCAGCTCACCTCTTGACTTCATTTCTTTAATTAGTTTCTCTTCTGTAGAAGATGCAGGCTTTCTCCTCTCACTGGAACAAAATAATCTTTCTTCAGTGGCTCCTTCTCCACTAAACCTCCATTCCCCCAGGGTTTTAGTTCTAAACTTTATGGGGAAACAGGTAAGTTTTGGGAGGGAAGAGAGTAAAATAAGGAAAGGAAAATGTGTAACCATATAATGTCTTAATAGTTGTTCTTTGACAAATGTGCCAGAAACTCATCTCATTTGTTTCTTGTTTCCTTTCCTCCTCCATACACATACACTGATTTATGTTTTTTGTTTCTAGAATTGTCCCCACCCAAATTGGTTACACAATTTTCTCACAGAATGTTACCTAGAAACACCCCCCTTTCCTTGATGAAGAAAGCAGAAGAAAAAGAATCTCCAGATCTCCTTTTTGTTTCCCTCCTCACCCTTCAGATAGCATCTTAGGCCCTAGATCTACCTATGCATTGCCTTCCCCCGCAAAAAAGATCTGACTAAACTGTATACATTGCTCCTATCCAGACCTAGGAAGACTTTACATCTCAGAGGGACTTCCAGCCTGGTTCTCTTCATATTTACCACACCTTTCATCTTAGCTCCCCCTGAAGGGCAAACTAACCAGCATAACTAAGCAGTCTGAGTGGAGGTTTCACCATACCTAGAAATACCATGACAAAGTAAGTCATAAAGTCATTTAGGTCAATGTTCCCCCCCATCTGCATTTGCATCTACAACTATAGAGCTACAGCCAGTTCTAGGAAGTGAGGCTTACATTTGGCAGATATCAAAAACAGTTGATAAAAAGGTTTGAGTGTAAACCCTTAGCTATTTGCACTTTTTTTTTGTTCTAGCTTGACTTATTTAATAAGGGTAACAAATGCAGAGATGATTCTGTGTACACATACCATTTTCAGCTTATTTTACATTATTTCTTTACTAAATAAAACTTTTCATACCTTCTTGTGGTCTGCTTAAAGTATAAAAACTCCTTAGGTTAGCATTAAATCCCTTCACAGTCTGGATCAAGCCTATCTTTTCTGCTTTATCTTGTCTGATTACCCTTCATCTACTCTATGCTTCAGTGAATTTAAGGAAATGTTTTCTGAGGATGGAATTTGGATCTCTGGACCATGGTTTACATTACAGGAATGCTAAATTCTTGACAAAGGATTGTGTGATGTTTAAAAAGATTCGAGAGACATAGTTTCTGGGTAATTAATTTATTAATAAGGCCAGCAGGTAATTAATAAAAGGATGGCCATTTGGCCATCTCTCAGACCAAAGAAAATCATGGCAGCCCAGACTCACAGTTTATATGCCCTTCAAAACAGTAGGTTGTTCATCAAACAGCAATCAAATTTAATTGGGTAACGTGATTAGAGATGAACTATGTTAAAATGAAGGACTGAGTATCTCTCGGATAGGGAAAGTGTCTCTATACCAGACCATTCATAGCTTTACACTATCAATTCAAAGAATGTATGCCCCATCCAAGCCTGAGCAGAACACTGGGTGGGATCTGAGTAAGATGGATGAGAGTCAATGTCATCTCATTATCAGTAATGTCCTTCTGAAGAAGAGCTGAACTTTTTAAAATGAGGATTTAGAAAAAGGGGAGAGTCTTGAAAGCTCCCCAAGATATTAGCTATTAATAATAATTTCTTATAATTGAGTATACCTGTGAAAGACCAGTAAAATATATATGGGTTTGGAATCTTACAAATTTAGTCAGGAGAACTTTAAATTGGAAAGGAATGAAAAGAGAGAAAGAGCTAAACACTATGGAGAGTACTAATAGAGTAGGAAGGTGAACATTGGTTGTGGAGCCCAGAAATTGACAGGAGATAAAGGAGACCACAATAAAAATATGTCATCAAAGATGTCTACAAAACTGCAGAAACTGGGTAACAAGGAAGTACCTTTCATTCTGTGGGTAGGGGAAATATTTTAACACTCAATTAAAAAGTTTTTTTGAGTTCCAAATTTTCTCCCTCCTTCCATTAAATCCCCCTTCCCAAATATAGTAAGCAATTTGATATAGGTTATATATGTGCAATCATGTAAAACATATTTTCATATTAGTCATGTTGTAAAAGAAGAAATTGACCAAAAGATAAAAAAAACCCATAAAAAAATAAAGAAAGTGAAAAATAGTATGCTTTGATCTGTACTTATACTCCATCAGTTCTTTCTCTGGAGGTAGATATCATTTTTCATCATGAGTCCTTCAGCATTGTCTTGGATCATTGTATTGCTGAGAATAGCTAAGTCATTCATAATTGATCATTGTACAATATTGCTGTTACTTTCAGAGTCAGAATCAGGTTACACAGAAGTTATTTCTTTCTAGGAGTTCCGCACAGGAAAGTGACCTGGGCTAGTGCAGAGGCAAGGGCCAGTCATTCATCTCTGGGTAGCAGAGAGGTAGCACATGATGGTGCAGAGAATCTTGGACAAAAAGGCCACGTCCTTCCTCAGATATTTAATAGCTGTGTGACTCTGGGCTAATCACTTAATATTCTTGAGACTCAGTCTCCTCATCAAATGGGAATAATAGTAGTATCTACCTTAAAGAGTAGTTACAAGAATAGA